CCAAGGGAATTAAGTTACACCATGGCTCATTAAATAAGTGCATGACATATCTTCTCTTTCCATGAATCTTATCTCTCACACACAAAAAGGATCTCACACACTGAATTAAGAAGTCTTTGATTTCATAAAATTCTAACTTCACATTTGGAAACTAAACCTAGGGTTTCTAGATTTTTTTATCCCATAGCATAATAAATATGATAAGCCTAAATCTATTGTTAACAATTTTAGACAATAACTTGGGTCATAAAGGGAAACACCTCCTGAGAATTCAATCTATATTTTTAATGATTTTTTTTCTTCCCACTGTGAAGTGTCTGACATAGTAAAAATACCAAACCAATGGGTAGTAGAATCCTCATCTGCCCAGACAATATATGTCAATCACTAGGTGAACTTCTGGAATGGGACTGAGTGGCCCTAGCACAAGTAAAATTACGATGATGAGCAAGAAAGCAGATTTAGTGATAAAGCAAGATGGTAAGGCAAGAAACAGCTTGTGGAAGCTGGATTCCATGACCAAAATATTAAAATATCTAAATAAAAAGATATCCTGGGAAAAATTATTTGAGATCACTAAGAGCAAAGAAATGAACAGATAGGGACAAACTGGAATGTCTGTTCTGTTGAAATGTTTTTTTCCTTAGTCTGAAGCATTTCATGCTGATTCTAATGAACCAGTTTCAGCCACTAAATTGACTAACAGACTTGGCATCAGTAAAAATCTATTAAATAAATATGTTTAGCATTGATTGAGAGGCCAATTACCTCTCAATCAATTACCAAAAAATAGAGTCATTTTCTCCAAAGTCCGACTACCCTATGCATTACTGGTGGAAGAGAAGTGGATTTCACAGAGCAAAACAAAGCTGCCACTTGGCTACATTGATCTCCAATGTTTTACCAGTTTGTGAAGCAAAATATGTCTTTAGACAGTTGTGAATTGTCCTTTTGTGATCAATAGTGGAACTTATGAGGTCTTTTTCCATTACTTTTTGTTTTCACTTTGAATAGGAAAAAGCACCACCTTAGCCTAGAGTAAATAATAACTACTACTCACCCCAAATCCCAGGAAGCCTCAAAATAAAGCTGTATGCCTTTTATTTTTGGCAGAGAGGATGATCATAGAAATCTGCTTAACCACACTTTAAACAAATGGGCTAAACTTATACCATTAAAAATCTCATGAGAATTTCATCAGAATAATAGAAAAAGCTCATCAACACACACACACACACACACACACACACACACACACAAATGATAGTACTTTGCCCTTCCACATAGTTGACAAACTTGGGGAATAGCAGATGGACCAATATGGGAGGCATATGTAAAACATCTATGAAAGGCAAAGTAATTGACGTAGTAAACCCATGAAACAATAATTTCCTCAACATATTCAGCAGCATTTACAAAAATGATAATTTTTTTTTTTACATAATGAAATGCACTGGCAAAATCTGCAAATAAAATGGTAAAAGAGAAGCAGAAAAATACAAGTGAGAGTTCCCTTCAACACACTAAAAAGCATTTATGGGAAAACACAGCTGAAGAAAGAGTCTTGTAAGTTGTTGTTGTTTTGGTTTTGCTGCTGTTTTTCTTGTAAGAAGATCTTAAATTTGTACGATTGTCCTCTCAGAGTTAAGAGATTCTGACATAGGGTATTCCCTTTAATGTCCTTATGAAGCAGGTAGAGGACTTAAAGTTATTCCATTCACTTCCATACTAATGTCCATAGGGTGGATAGTAGAAGACTATGTTAAACTAGTCTTCTAGACTTGAGGAATTTCCAGGCAGTTAGCCCTTGCAGGCTTTGTACTTCCTTCCTAATAGTCAAATACACCCAATTTTAAAGAAATTAGAATGCAATGAGCAAGCTATAAGGGTGTATGTCAAAGAATAGCAACGTTTCACAATAGAATGGGGAGCATCAGAGTAGGTTTTTGATACACTCTTAATACATGCAAGTGGACAGAGTATTAAATAAGTTCAAGCTAGAAAAAAGAGCATTTGCATCTCAGCGCTTAATAATCCTAGACTTAACTCCATGACACATCTTTCATCTTCAGTCTCTAAAAATAAAAAACCTGCACAGAAATAATAAAACTAGATCCTGGGAAAGATAAAAAGATTAGTCACAATGTCAAATGTCCACCATGGGGAATTCACAACCTGAGCCCATTTCCTTTGCAAGGTTTGTTGATGGTCATTGCCACAATGTGACCTGAGATGCAGAAAGTCCCACCAGTTGAAAAATAAGGCTGCCCACAGGCCTCTATTTGCTCTTCATTTCTTTAGGTTAAAATGCTATTTCCATCTTGAAACTTCTATTGGCTTCCTCATTCTTTGAAATACAAATATTTATATGATCATTCAGGAAATATTTATAGAGGGTTTATTCCATGACCAGCACTAGGGATAAAATTATGAAACAGACAAGCAAAGCCCCTGCAACCTTCTAGTTAAGAGTGAAGCAAAAATAACAACAACAATAATAGTAATAATAATAATAAGCAAGAAAAAAATCAGGCAGCAATAATTGGGTTAGGCTGAATTTCCAAATTGGGTGATATGACAGAAAGTAACTGATGGGCTATTTTAGATTAGATAGTCTGATGACAACCTTTATGAGAAGATGCCACTTCAGATGCAGATGACAAGTAGGAGCCATACATGTGATTATCAGAGGGAAGAACATGCCTAGCAGAGGCAAAGGCTACTGCAAAGGCGCCATGTTGAGAAACAAATTTGCTCTTTTGTAGAACAAAAGCAAAAAAAGGAGGTTAGAAAATATAGAATGAGCTGAACCCAGAAAGAATAGTCCGAATCACACTAGGATGTATAAGCCAGAGGAAGGAGTTGGAGCAAAAAGGTATGCCACTGGAGGTGTGTAGTTAGGTGACTTATATTTAATAATATTCTCACTGCTGTATAGAGAATATGTTGCAAAAAGGCAAGAGAGGAAACAAGCTGCAGAAATGGTCAAGAGAAAGATAATGGTAGGTTGGCCCAGGGTGGTAGATGCAAAAATAGAAGTAGTTAGATGTAAATAGAGTTGATTGGATGGACCTGATGATAGGTTTGACACAGGGGGAGGGACAAGAAAAGGAAGGAAGCATAAATGTTAGAATTCTGGTTTGGGTAATTGGTCAGATGGTGAGAAAAAGAAGGCTAAATGTAGGCTGGTTAGGGAATCAAGAGTTCTGCTTTGGTCACTAATTTTGAAATGTCTATTAAGCATCCACATAAAGATGTCAAGTAGGCAGCTGGATACAAGGGGCTGGGAAAGAACACATGTTAAATGGCCTAGAGTTGTCTCCTAGGTCTCCAGTGACCTATGTTTTGAAATTTACTGGGCCTGTTCTTTCTCTTACCTTACCTAGCTTTGATGAGGCTAGAATTACATAAAGTACATCAAAATACTTTATCTAGTTATTTTCAAATAGCAAAATCCTCACATTTGGAATTATTATCATGACCACTTTCCATCAACTATTTATCTGGCACATACTGTGTTAAACATTTCTCTATTGTAGAAGTTTCAGGAAATACAGATCATGCCATCCCTGCCCTCAAAGATACTGTAGCTTTTAATATGCTTATATTGTTTTAAAAAAAAGTTGAAACTGATCCTAGCAATAATAAAAGGAAAAATATCTCCAAAAGATTAGTATGTCACATGACTCCACAGTAACTGTAGGCAGCCACACAGACTCAACTTTATAGATTTTTATCACATACCTAGCCAAGTAATCAATGCAAAATTGAGAGGCTGTGGATTTCCTAGTGGTGGGCCCACTGAAAAACGTCAGTGCCCCAAATATGATGAATGCTTTCCCACTGAATGCCACATGATTTCAAATTTCATAATTAGTTATTTCTTCATGTTTAAAGAAATTCCTATGCAAAATGCAAACTTACGGGGCAAGGAGGTATCTGCTATCAGACATGAGCACTTTAGCATGAAATTAGTTTATCTGCTTATTAGTTGTGAGATATGTTCCTAAAGAATGGTGAAGATTACTGGTCAATTTGATCTGGTTTGTGGTCAAGTAGCCCAGAGAATCAGCTTATACTGGTCAGAATATATCCAGATAGATAGGTCATAGCACAGAATGTAGAGAGATCATAAAAATAATGAAAGCCCATCTCTTGACTATTCTCTTGGCTACATGATTTCATCCCATGTAGAATGGGGCTCCCTTGCTTTTGTCCTCATTCAGTGAAAAGAAAAGGCATTAAAGGTGAGCTGTATATAACTTATTGATACCTAGATTTCTCATGAAAATGAAACATTACCAACAACAAGTTAACAACTAAGAATTGTATCTGGGAACACCATCACAAATACAGACCCATATGAAATGCATACAATATTTGTCACTATTATCATTAGCAGAGGAATCATTCCTTTGTGATGTCTTCTGAGAACTATTATAAAATTGAAACTCTCAGCACCCCAGCCCTTACTGGTATTTTCACTGAGATTATCTACTTGAACAGTGAAAAATATATCACACCATTCTCTAAGGCAGTGGAATTCACAGATGACTCATGAAACTACATGAGGTAATTCCTGAACAGAGAGAACAAAACCAATTAAGGTATTGAAAACAGTAAATAATTTAATAATCCATAAAAAAAAATTGTAGCAAGCCTTCAATTTTGCACATAAAACTGGTATTTTAAACAATTTATGATTGCCAAAGCTAGTTTTCAACCCACAAAATGACTTCTTTCAACAATGATTATGCTGCTAAATTTTCTTTCCAAGAGGCCTGACACGAGTGGAGGTATGTTTCAGGATGCAAACTAATTATGAGTCAAACATATTTAGAAAGTTGACTTACTACTTCATTAAATCATTTAGTATTTTCCAAAGCCAAGTTAAAATACGTTTTTAACTTAATCTTAGCCTAGATTCTGTTATTATCCATGTTATTACCTGTGCAACCTACTTGACTAACTTGAATTTTCTGTCCCACTTTGTTTTCCAGCCTCTGCAAGCACGTATGTCCCAACGGTGTGCAACGGGCGGGAAGTCCTCGACTCCACCACCTCATCTCTGTGATTGTGAATTGCAGTTCAGTTCTCGTGTCTTTAGACTGTTAGACAAAAGTGCTCACGTGCAGCTCCAGAATACGGAAACAGAGCAAAAGAACAACCCTAGTACCTTTTTTTAGAAACAGTACAATAAATTATTTTTGAGGACTGTACACTGTATAGTGATGTGCTAGAACTTTCTAGGCTGAGTCTAGTGCCCCTATTATTAACAGTACCCCAGAACATGGAAATAACCATTGTTTACAGAGCTGAACATTGCTGACAGGTTCTGACAGGGTCAGTCTACTAAAAAAAAAAAGTGGTGGCAATATTAGGTAACTTTTTTTCCTATGAAGTTTTTTGTAGGTTCTTGTTGTAACTAACTTAGGATGAGTTTCTATGTTGTATATTAAAGTTACATTATGTGGAACAGACTGATTTTCTGAGCACAAAATAAAAAGCATCTGTATTAATGTAAAGGTATTGAGAATAAAACCTTCAAGGTTTTTCAGCATGGTGGATAATGGTTTGCTCTTTTTGAGTCACTTAAGGTAATTTGAATATGTGGACTTCAAATCATTTCTACTTTTAATGCTGGAAGAAATTGTTTAACTGTGCTTCTCTTCATATCCATACACACTTCAAACTCAAGTTGCAACCCTACTATAGCTGTGAATAGATCTAGTCTTCTTTACAGATCTCAATGATTAGAAATTGATTGGTGATAACACAGTAAATATCAGACCATTTCAGTGGCCAGATGACAGTACACATATTGGGTCTTTTCTTTTTTAGCCATATCTCTCTGACAGCCCAGAATTACCCAGATGGAGCTCTGAGGCAAAGAGAGAGTTCTTACATTCTGAATGCAGAGAATGTGACTGCCAGGGAAGGTTTGATGGCTATCATTTCCTAAAACAGCCTTAATTCCTAGGAGAGAAACTGCCAAAACATTTAGTACTAATTCTATTGAAAAATCACTCTCACCATTTACATCTGAATGAGGTAATAAAAATGCAGGATATCTTATATTCCAACACTTTCCCAAAGACCCAGTAACAATGTTCAGGCACACAGGCTTGTCACCAAACTTGAATATTTTACTTGACTAAATAAAGGAGTGAACAGGGAAACTTTGGATAAGCTAAAACTGGCTCATCCTTACTGTCCTATTTCTGTCAACTTTTTAGTCACAAATCATTTATTAACATAGACAGCTTACCGAGAACCTAATCATGTGCCAGGTCCTGTGTTAGGTACCATGGGTAGGGATAGTTTCCTATGGCTGGTATAAGGAATGAACATAAACTAGGTGGCCTAAAACAACAAATATTTGTTCCCTGACAGATATGGAGGGAATTTAGCCTCTAAAGGCTTTAGTCTTCTTTACAGATCTAAAGAAGTCTGAAATTAAAGTATCAGCAGGGCCACACTCCTTTAGAGGCACTCAAGGAGAATCCATTCCATGCCTCTTCTAGCTGCCGGTGGGTGCCAGGTTCCTTGGCTTGTGGCCACATCATTCCAGTCTCTGTCTCCATCTTCATATCACCTTCTCTGTGTCTGCTTTGTCCTCCGTGTGTCTCTTACAAGGTCTAGGGCTCACTGAGATAAGATAATCTCACCTTGAGATCCTTAATTACATCTGCAAAGGCCCTTTTTTCAAATAAAATAACCTTCTCAGGCTCTAGAAATTGGGATTTGGACATATCCTTTTGGAGGGCACCATTCATCCTATGACAGAAACAAAGATGAATAAGATATAGTGCCTGCCTTTAAGAAGCACAAAGATTGGAAATATTTAACGAGGAGACTGTGATCAAGGAGGACAATGAGAGGAAGGAAGAGGAGAATCAGGATATGAAGGGCCCACAGGCTAAATTGTCAGAACCTGAATAATCAAGACATGATGATGCTATTTTTAATACATCTAAAAATAATGAGCAGATGCACAAAAGTCAACAGGACCAGCCTTGAAGGAAACAAAGGAGTCAAATGTTAGAAATTCATCTCTTCCTTTCAGATACATTTGAATCAGTAACCTAATCAATCAACCCAAAACCCACCAGATGATCAAAGACAACAGTGCTCACCCAATCTCTGAATTCCCATCTTCAAATAAGAACCTGGAATGTGGGGTGATTGGGTAATAGACTCAACAACACTGAATGACAAAAATGAATTCTACTCTGAAACTGGAAGGAGTGCTAGATAAGCATGTTAAGAATGAGCATCTGCTCAGTGTAAAGGCTGAGGCAAGGTTGATGGAAGAGAAACTCAGTCCACGGTTGGAATGTGACAGCCTGAAGAAGTCACTATCATATGAGTTGTGCAGAGACATGTCTGATGCCTCAAAGAGTCAAACTGATTGTGGATCTTTTCCAACAAGACAATGAGGCTTGTGTATGAATCTTCAGAAAACTGTGGTTTTGAGGACTAGGTTTTGACCTACGTCCACTATATTTCATGCCCTGAAAATGCATTCTCCGACAGCTCTGATCAGTTTCTTTTTCCTTGCGACTAGCTTTGTTTCCATTTAGAAAGTACAGCATCTGACATGTGATCTCTGAAAATAACTTTTTAGAAAACATTCAACATATATATGGAAAATAGCAGCTATAAAATCTTTTTACATAAGGCAATTCAAACAAATAGGTTTTTGGTTTTCAGTTTTGTTTTGTTTTTTTAGTTCCAGTAACATCACATTCTTCTAGTATATGAAATTGGTTGAGCCAGTCCATCTCTGCAAAAACTTCTTGAATTTAAAAATCTAACCAGAATGATATATCCCACTCATTAAAAATCAGGGTGACATCAGCAACATGGCAGAATAGGAAACTCCTGACTCTCCCTCCACCCACGAATGCACCAAAAAAACACATCTATTCACAGATCAATTCCCTCTGAGAGAAAGGCAGATACCAGTGAAGAGACTCCTACCCACCAAACAACTGAGAAAACACCCACGTGGAATGGGTAGAAAAAGCTGAAGCACACTTGGGCACAGACCCTGCAGCAGGCACTGCACCATAAAATCTGGAAAGGAATTCCCAACACCCAGCTATCCCCAAGGAGAGGAAGGTTTGAACCTTCTACATACTATCCTAACTCTAAGGTTCCTCACAGTTCGTCTCCTAGTTCATCAAAGGATTAGACATGCAAGTCTCTCTAAACCACACAGGGAAGTGGTGGTTTCATACAGGTACACAAGCACAGAGGTGCAGAAAAGGGGCTTTAAAAATGTAATCCCTTTTCTCTCTGAAAAGGACACATTTTTCCAGTGGCTACTTGGCAGCTTGTCTTCTAACTAACTTGCATTGGGGACTAAAAGGAGCAGATGAATATTAACCCACTACCAGCATAGGAAGCAGATCGGCACTTCTTGAGGCTTCTCCCCCAGTTCATCCCAGCAATAACTCCAGGTCTATTAATTCCTCCAGAAGGAGTTTGTTCACACATTAAGCACCTCAACTTTCATAACTTTTAGCTGAGGGAAAGCATCCTAAACTTCCTAGCTCTAGAAGCAGAGGAGACTGGCATACATGTCATGTGTCTCTCCAGGCCACTAGGAAAAAGCAGTTTTTTATACAGGCACACTAACTTCTGGGACCTTCATCTCCCAGGAGCAATGCAGAGAAGGAACTTAAACCCAGTTCATTATTTCTCCCTGAAAGAGATTTATGACATACTTTTTCAGTGGCTGCTTGGCAGCCTAGCTTCTATCTACTTGCACCATGGAGTTAAATGGGCAGATAAATATTAACCCATCCCCAGCCTAAGAAGTGGATTGGTACCTCTTAGAGTCATCTTTCGAAGTCTGTCCCAGTGATATCTCCAGGTATATTAATCATTCCTGGAAGGAGTTTGTCCATGCATTGAATACCCCACTTTTTCAGCTTCTTCCCAAGGTACTGCATCCTAAACCTTCTAGCTCTGGCAGCAGAGGTGACTAAATATATATGTATGTCTATCTAGAGCATGTACACATGCATACACACACACAACTGACAGATTTATATGCATGTGTAAGCACTTCCAGGGGCTTCATTCCCAGAGCAGTGCAGAGGAGGGGCTTTAAAAACGAAGCTAGCTGTTTCTTCCTGAAAGTGGCTTATGCCATACATTGAATGCCCCAACTTTTACATCTACCTCCAAAGGGACTCCATCCTAAACCATTTAGCAATAGAAAAGAAAGGACTAGATATATGCAAGTCTCCTAGATCACAGTATAAAGAGGTAGGGGCTACATCTCCTTGGGAAAATGAAGAAATAGGGTAAGAACATGCAGTTTCCATTTCCCCTTCAGATGGGGTTAATGGCACACAGTGCCAGTGGTTACTTAATGGTCTGGCTTCTAAAAAACATGCATTTAGGAGTTAACAGGGCAATTAAATAATAATTCTCTGGCAGCCAGAGCTCAAAACTTCACAAGCGTTTCTTCTGGCAGTCCAGTAATAAATCCAGGTCTACCCATTCTTCCTGGAAGGAGCTTGGCCATGCACCAAGTGCCACAACTTCTATATCTCCTACTCAAGAGACTATTTTCTTAATGACCTAGCTCTGGACTAGGTCATTTATGAGTAGACCTCAATAACAGAAACAAAGAGATGAACATACAATGGGCCCACTTTCAGCAGTCATTTGAACAGGTATTTGCCACATATCCTCTCCCTGGCTTAGTACAGAAAAAGTGAAAGACAATTACTCATGCCCTGCTTCGCTGTGAAAGAAAGAACTGTGATAGAAAGAACTGGAACATATATTCAACAACCCAACCCTTCCAGCTACATCTAGGAAGTCTGACTTCTACCTTATTGAACTCAGAGGATGTAATGTATTTTAAGCCCAGAGGCCCCTGAAAGCAGAAATAGCTCTGGAAAAAGAAAATTGAGAGGAAACTTTAAATCTCTGGTCAGATGAACTGGGAAGGTCATTCTCCTACTACAAACAAGTCTGACAAGACTGAGAGAGGAAGTTGTCTTATCTAATGCATGAATACCAACACATAGAATCAAGGAAAATGAAGCAACAGAGGAATATAACCCAAATAAAAGAACAAGATAGGTCTTCAGAAACCAAGTGAAGAAGAGATATATAATTCACCCAACAGAAATTTCAAAATAATGGTCATAAAAATGCACATTGAGTTCAGGAGAGCAATGCAAGAACAAACTGAGAATTTCAACAAAGAAATATATAGCATTAAACAGTACAAAATAAAAGTCATAAGAGTTAAATAATACTATAGCTAACTGAAATGAATAATGAAAGTGAGGGATTCAACAGTAGAATAGATCAAGCAGGAGAAGGAATGAGT